ACACATTGAGATGCCCAAGAGGGGGAGAGGGGCTTCGCTCCACGCAGTTTCGACAACAGCCGTCCTGGTCCAGAGGTGCGACGGCTCTACGATATAATCAACAAGAAAGCATCCAAAGAACAGAGAACGCCCGGGGCCCAGTCCAGACTCTTGAGGCTCTTACACGCAATCTGGAGTCCATGAAGATTTGCGCCATTTATTAATATGCCTGATGCAGGGCTGGACCTAAACGTTGTTTCTCGTTTTGTTGTCGCTTTGTTTCTCGTGCTGCCCTACCCGTTTTCCTGTAGCCCCCCTGCCCAAAACGGACACACAACACGGCCGAAGCCTAGCAAAACAGCGTTTAGGGCCACCCCTGGCCTGATGGGTGCCCAGGATCGGAGGAGGAGGAGGAGGAGGAGGAGGAGAAGGCGGAGGAGGAGGGAAAGGAGGAGGAGGAGGAGGAGGAGGAGGAGAAGGCGGAGGGCATGGAGAGTTGAGCTTGTTTGCCATAACCCCCCCGCGCTTGCGGATCAGAGCGAGGGGGCGGGAGGGCCGGTTGTCGGCGGTCTCCAGGGCTCGAGCGCGCCGACATGGCCCGCCGCAGGGCGCCTGATTTCTGCTGCGCGGTGCAGCGCGGGCCCGCCGCGCCGCAGGCGCCGCTCGTCCGTCACAGAGATGTGGGGGGGGGCTCTCGGGTCGGGCGAAAGGGGGGGATAGCAAAGGGGGGGTTTGAGAATCAGCTCGCGTAGCTGATTTTCCCGGCGCCTCCCGGCGCCGGGAGGCGCCCATGTATCGAGGAATGGGCCCGGCGGCGGGGCGGAAACTAGCTGCATGCAGCAGATCTCGTACCCCCCCTTTCCCTATCCCCCCCTTTCGTTCGGCCCGAGGCACGGGTGGGTCGTCTCGGGCGGGTCGCAGGTGGATCGCGGATGGTGGGTCGCGGGTGGGTCGCGGGCGGGTCGTGGGCGAGAACGACGACGGCAAGGAAGAGCAATAGGAGTCCGCACAGCGCATCCCCACGGCAGCCATGCACCCGGGGACGGTGTAAGACCGCTCGCCCCCCTCACTCGAATCTGATTGTTTTCTTTTTGGGTCTCCAGAAGATCGCGGAACGAGGGTCGACCCAGACATCCAACGCAAACACGAGCGACGGCTGGCTTCTCCTGCGCCCCACGAGCTGTCTGGGCGCAGGTGGTTCAGAGGTAATGATTCCAACCCCGTATTCCCTTTCGGGGAGGGGTTAATCACTGCCCCCCCTCCTCCACTCGACCGGCCGCCAACCAGGAACAATGAGCCCCCCACCACCATCCCTGTCAAAAACGGTACACATCGCACGCGGTGGCAAAAATCTGGATCATGAACGGGCACTCCGAAACCACTGCCCACTTGTCTTAATCCTCCTGCGTTGGCAGTTAGATTCGAATACGAAACTGTGGTCGCACACCTTCTTCTCCTCCCCTCCAGTCCTGCGCTGCTCCCTGGGTGGCTGCGAACTGCGCAACTGGCGCCGCTTTCGTAGGCTCCTGGGAGGCACGGCGGAGTCACGAAGTACGCGCGTCCAAACGGGACCTCGCAGCTCCCCGGGTGGCTGCGAACTGCGCAACTGGCGCCACATTCGCGGGCTCCTAGGAGGCACGGAGGAGTCACGGAATACGCACACCCAGAGGGGACCTCGCGACTCCCTGGGTGGCTGCGGACTGGGCAACTGGCGCCACTTCCGTGGGCTCCTGCAAAGCACGGCGGGGTCACGGAGTACGCGCACCCAGACCAGACCTCGCAGCTCCCTGGGTGGCTGCGAACTGCGCAACTGGCGCCACTTTCGTAGGCTCCTGGGAGGCACGGCGGAGTCACGAAGTACGCGCGTCCAAACGGGACCTCGCAGCTCCCCGGGTGGCTGCGAACTGCGCAACTGGCGCCACATTCGCGGGCTCCTAGGGGGCACGGAGGAGTCACGGAATACGCACACCCAGAGGGGACCTCGCGACTCCCTGGGTGGCTGCGGACTGGGCAACTGGCGCCACTTCCGTGGGCTCCTGGGAGGCACGGCGGAATCACGAAGTATGCGCGCCCAGACGGGACCTCGCGACTCCCTGGGTGGCTGCGGACTGGGCAACTGGCGCCACTTTCGTGGGCTCCTGAAAAGCACGGCGGGGTCACGGAGTATGCGCACCCAGAGCAGAACTCGCAGCTCCCTGGGTGGCTGCGAACTGCGCAACTGGCGCCACTTTCGTTGGCTCCTGGGGGGCACGGCGGGGTCACGAGAGCACGCGCACCGAGCCGAGACCTCGCAGCTCCCTGGGTGGCTGCGAACTGCGCAACTGGCGCCACTTTCTTAGGCTCCTGGGAGGCACGGCGGAGTAGGAGAGTACGCGCCCACGCGCACCCTGGCGAGACCTCGCTGCTCCTTGGTGCGCTGCGAACCGCGCAACGGTCGCCGCTTTCGTGGGCTGCTGAAAGGTCCACAGGAGACGGGGACCGCGCGGATCCAGCCGAAGCCTCGCGGCTCCGTGGGTGGCTG